ATTTTATAAATAATTAAATTTTTATAAATAATTTTATAAATAATTTTAATAAATAAATTTTTATAAATAATTTTATAATTAATTTAATAAATAGATTTTATAAATAATTTTATAAATTCATTTTTTAAATAGATTTTTTAAATAGATTTTTTAAATAGATTTGCTTTTTTTTTTAATTAAGAAATTATAAGTAAATAATTTCATAAAGGAAATCAAGTAAAAATACCCATGAATATCGCCAACAACTGAAACAGGAGTTTTGACAACAGCTACATTTGATTCATAAATCAACAACTCTTTAATTTTATCACAAATTTCTTTCACAATTTGTTCAGGAAGTACTTCAGGTGGGTTTTTTGTTAGTTTCTCAATACACCAATCAACATCCATTCTTAATTTTAAATCAAATAAAATTATTGATTTACTTTTTCTTTTTTTTTGGTTTTTTTGTTTGTAAAAAATTTTGAATGAAAAAAAAATGAAAAAAAAAAATTTAAATTTTAATTATTTTTCTTTTTTTCTTTTTATTTTTTTCTTTTTTTTTTTATTTTTATTTAAGTGGGCATAATTCAAAAAAATTTTTTTAATTTACAAATAATTTTAAATAATTTTGACTAATTTTTTTAATTTAATTTTTTTATTTTTTTTCATTTTTTTTTTACTTTAATTTTTCAATTATTCTTTCAATTTCGTAATTATAAATTTATTTAAAATTAAATTTTTTACATCATTTCTTATTAAAATTATATTAAATTTAAATTATATCAAGTTTAAATTGATATCAAATTTAAATTGATATTAAGATTAAATTATATCAAGATTAAATTATAACAAGTTTAAATTATATCAAGTTTAAATTATATCAATATTAAATTATATCGAGATTAAATTATATCAAGTTTAAATTATATTAAATTTAAATTATATTAAGTTTAAATTATATCAAGTTTAAATTATATCAAGATTAAATTATATCAAGTTTAAATTATATCAAGTTTAAATTGATATTAAATTTAAATTATATTAAATTTAAATTATATCAAGATTATATTAAATTTAAATTATATCAAGTTTAAATTATATCGAGATTAAATTATATTAAATTTAAATTATATTAAGTTTAAATTATATCAAGTTTAAATTATATCAAGTTTAAATTATATCAAGTTTAAATTATATTAAATTTAAATTATATTAAATTTAAATTATATCAAATTTAAATTCATATCAAGTTTAAATTGATATTAAAATTTAAATTTTAAATTATATCAAATTTTAAAATTATATCAAGTTTAAATTATCATTTAATTTAAAATTTAAAATTATATCAAGTTTAAATTATATCAAAAAATTATATCAAAATTATATCAAATTTAAATTATATCAAGTTTAAATTATATCAAGTTTAAATTATATCAAATTTAAATTATATCAAAATCAAATTTAAATTATATCAAGTTTAAAATTATATCAAATTTAAATTATATATATTTATAATTAAAAATTTAAATTATATTAAATTTAAATTATATCAAATTTAAATTATATCATATAAATTATAAAGTTTAAATTATATCAAGTTTAAATTATATCAAGTTTAAATTTATATCAAGTTTGAAATTATAGTTTAAATTTAAATTATAATTCAAATTTATATCAAATTTATATCAAGTTTAAATTATATCAAGTTTAAATTATATAAGTTTAAATTATATATTTAATTTAAATTTAAATTATCAAATTTAAATTATATCAAGTTTAAATTAATCAAATTTATATCAAAAAATTAAGTTTAAATTATATCAAGTTTAAATTATATATCAAATTATATTTAAAATTTATATCAAGTTTAAATTATTTAAATTATATCAAGTTTAAATTATATAAATTATATAAGTTAAATTAAATTTAAATATTTAAATTATATCAAATTTAAATTATATCAAGTTTAAATTATATTAATATTAAATTTAAATCAAAGTTTAAATTATATCAAGTTTAAAATTTATATTTAAATTATATTAAGTTTAAATTATATCAAGATTAAAATTTAAATTATATTAAATTTAAATTATTATATTAAGTTTAAATTTAAATTATATCAAGTTTAAATTATATCAAGTTTAAATTATATCAAGTTTAAATTATATCAAATTTAAATTATATCAAATTTAAATTATATCAAGTTTAAATTATATCAAGTTTAAATTATATCAAATTTAAATTATATCAAGTTTAAATTATATTAAATTTAAATTATATCAAGTTTAAATTATATTAAGTTTAAATTATATCAAATTTAAATTATATTAAATTTAAATTGATATTAAATTATATCAAGTTTAAATTATATCAAGTTTAAATTATATCAAGTTTTTAAATTATATCAAGTTTAAATTATAAAGTTTATATCAAGTTTAAATTATATAAATTATATCAAGTTTTAAATTATATCAAGTTTAAATTCAATTATATCAAGTTTAAAAATTATATCAAGTTTAAATTATATCAAGTTTAAATTATATCAAATTTAAATTATATTAAGTTTAAATTATATCAAGTTTAAATTATATCAAGTTTAAATTATATCAAGTTTAAATTATATAAAATTATATTAAATTTTAATCAAGTTTAAATTGATATCAAATTAAATTATGTCAATATTTAAATTATATCAAGTTTATTATAAAATTTAAATTATATTAAGTTTAAATTATATTAAATTTAAATTATATCAAGTTTAAATTTAAATTATATCAAGTTTAAATTATATCAAGTTTAAATTAATCAAATTTAAATATCAAGTTTAAATTATATCAAGTTTAAATTATGATATTAAATTCCAAATTATATCAAATTTAAATTATATTAAATTTAAATTATATTTTAAATTTAAATTTATATCAAGTTTAAAAATTATATCAAATTTAAATTATATCAAGTTTAAATTGATGATATTAAATTTAAATTATATTAAGTTTAAATTATATCAAGTTTAAATTATATTAAATTTAAATTATATTTAAATTTAAATTATATCAAATTTAAATTATATCAAATTTAAATAATTATATCAAGTTTAAATTGATATTAAATTAAAAATTTAAATTATATCAAGTTTAAATTATATTTATATTAAGTTTAAATTAAATTATATTTAAGTTTAAATTATAAATTATATCAAGTTTAAATATAAGTTTAAATTATATCAAGTTTAAATTATATCAAGTTTAAATTATATCAAGTTTAAATTATATCAAAAATTATTAAGTTTAAATTATATCAAGTTTAAATTATATTAAATTTAAATTATATCAAGATTAAATTATATCAAGTTTAAATTTAATTATATTAAATTATATTAAGTTTAAATTATATCAAGTTTAAATTGATTTAAATTATTAAATTATATTAAATTTAAATTATATCAAGTTTAAATTAAATTTATATATCAAAGTTTTAAATTATATTAAATTTAAATTATATTAAATTTAAATTATATTAAATTTAAATTATATTTAAGTTTAAATTATATCAAGTTTAAATTGATATTAAATTTAAATTATATTAAGTTTAAATTAAAATTTAAAATTATATTAAATTTTAAATTATATCAAGTTTAAATTGATATTAAGTTTAAAATTATATTTAAGTTTAAATTATATTAAATTTAAATTAAAATTTAAATTATATCAAGTTTAAATTATATCAAGTTTAAATTTAAAATTATATCAAGTTTAAATTATATCAAGTTTAAATTGATATTAAGTTTAAATTATATCAAGTTTAAATTGATTATATTAAGTTTTAAATTAACATATTTAAGTTTAAATTATATTAAATTTAAATTAAATTAAATAAATTTTTTAAATTATATTAAATTTTAAAATATATATTAAATTGAAAATTATATCAAGTTTTAAATTATATCGAGATTAAATTATATTTTAAATTTAAATTGATATTAAATTTAAATTATATCAAGTTTAAATTATATTAAATTTAAATTATATCAAGTTTAAATTATATCAAGTTTAAATTATATCAAGATTAAATTATATCAAGTTTAAATTATATCAAGTTTAAATTAATATTTAAATTATATCAAGATTAAATTATATCAAGTTTAAATTATATCAAAATTAAATTATATCAAGTTTAAATTATATCAAAATTATTTCAAAATTATATCAAAATTATTTCAAAATTATTCCAAAATTATTTCAAAATCAAAATTCAAATCATTTTAAAATTAAATTGTTAATAAAAAATAAATAGATAGAAATAAAAATATTAAATGGAAAAAAAAGAAATAAAATCTAAACAAATATTTGGTATTTCATTAACGGAATTAGAAAAAAGAGAAGAAGAAACACCAATCCCAAGAATTGTTACAAATTCTGTGAATTATTTGAAAAAAAAAAGCATAGAAACAACAGGAATTTTTCGTATTCCAGGAAATAAAACAGAAATGGAATCAATTATAAAAAGATGGAATAAAGGAGAAGTTATTGATTATGAAAAAGAAAAAACTTTGGAATTCACTGTTGCTTCTCTTTTGAAACAATTTGCTAGAGATCTTCCTCAATCTTTATTATCAAATTCTTTAATTCAAGAATTTTTCAAATTTGAAAATTTAAATCAAAGAGAAAAAATTTTTCAAACAAAAAGTTTATTAGAAAATATTCCCATTTATAATTGTAAAATTCTACAAAAGATTATGTTATTATTAAGAAAAATATCTCGACATTCTGATGAGAATTTAATGAATGCTTCTGCTTTAGCGTAAATTTATCCAATTTTTTACTTTAAATTTTTAATCAAATTTTTTTTAATTTGAATTTAGAATGGTTTTTCTTCCTTCTTTTTGTCATGAACAAGATTTACAATCAAATGAAACTGCTCAAATAATTTCTTTTTTTATTAAAAATTCAAAATTAATTTTTCCAGATTTTAAATAAATAAAAAAATAAATAAAAAAATAAAATAAAAAAAAATAATGCTTTCTACTGGAATCGAACCAGTGACCTCTTGTTTACAAGACAAGCGCTCTACCGGCTGAGCTAAGAAAGCAAATTATTTTAAATTTAAATTTTTTCTTATTTTTTTTTTTTCAAAAAGTTATATATTTATTTAATAATTTTTAATAAAAATAAATAAAAAATTTTTTAATTAAATTTTTATTTTTTTTTTTCATTTTTTTCCTCATTTATTTTTTCCTCAAATTTTTTTTTTTTGTTAATTTTTATATCAAATGGATTCTCAAGAAAAAAAAATGGCAGCAACTTTATTACTTCATATTGTTTATCCATTTCATCAATCAACACAAACTATGGATTCTTCACCAGTTGCTCTTGTTCGAGAAATTAAAGAAAGAATTTTTAAAATAAATGGATTAGATATGAATCGATTTGAAGATTATGGACTTTATTGTACTTCTGATAATGGTTTTTGGTTAGAAGAAGATAGAACTTTAATGAGTTATGAACTTTGGAAACAAGTATTTGCAAAATTTTTTATTTACAAATAATGAAATTGCAAAAAAAAAACGCTTTAGAAATTTTTTTCCAAATTTAATTACAAATTTATTTACAAATTTAATTACAAATTTATTTATATATTTAATTATATATTTAATTATATATTTAATTATAAATTTAATTATAAATTTAATTATATATTTATTTATATATTTATTTACAAATTTATTTATATATTTATTTATAAATTTAATTACAAATTTAATTATTTATATATATTTATTTATAAATTTAATTACAAATTTAATTATAAATTTATTTATATATTTATTTATATATTTAAAATTTATTTATATATTTATTTATATATTTATTTATTATTTATTTATATATATTTTTATTTATTTATAAATTTATTTATATATTTATTTTTATATAAATTTATTTATATTTATTTATTTATATATTTATTTATATATTTATTTTTATTTATATATTTATTTATTTATTTATATTTATTTATATTTATTTATTTTATTTTTTATATATTTATTTTTATTTATATTTATTTATATTAATTATTTTATTTATTTATTTTATTTATATTTATTTAATATATTTATTTATATATATAAATTTATTTATAAATTTATTTAATTATAAATTTATTTATATATTTATTTATAAATTTATTTATATATTTATTTATATATTTATTTATATTTATTTTTATAAATTTATTTTTATTTATATATTTATTTATATATTTATAAATTTATTTATAAATTTATTTATATTTTTATATTATTTATTTATAAATTTATTTATATATTTATTTATATATTTATTTATATATTTATTTATATATTTATTTATATATTTATTTATATATTTATAAATTTATTTTATATATTTATTTTATATATTTTATTTATATTTTTATTTTATTATTTTTATTTATTTATTTTATTTTATTTTATATTTTTTATTATTTGTTTATATGTTTATTTATATTTTTTTATATTTTTATTTATTTATTTATTTATTTATTTTTGTTTATTTTATATTTATTGTTTATATATTTATTTATATTTTTGTTTATTTTTTATTTATTTATATATTTTATTATTTATTTATAATATTTATTTATATTTTTATATATGTTTTGTTATTTTTTATATTATTTATATTTGTTTTTTAATATTTTATTTATGTATTTATTTATTTTATTTATATTTTATTTATATTTATTTGTTATTTATTTATATATTTGTTGTATATTTTATATATTTATTTATTTATTTATTTATTTATTTTATTTATATATTTATTTTATTTATTTATTTATTTTATTTTATATATTTTGTTTATATATTTATTTTTTTATTTTTTTATATATATTTATTTATTTATTTTATATATTTATATATTTTTATTTTATATATTTTATTATTTTTATTTTATGTTTTTTTTATATATATTTATTTATATTTATTTATTTGTTTTTTTATATTTTATTTATAAATTTATTTTATATTTATTTATTTATTTATTATATTTATTTATATATTTGTTTATTTATATATATATTTTATATTTTTATTTTATTATATATTTTTATTTATTTATTTTATTTATATATTTATTTTATATATTTTATTTGTTTTTATTTATATTATTTATTTATATATTTATTTATATATTTATTTTATATAAATTTATATATTTATTTATATATTTATTTATAATTTTAAATTTATATATTTATTTATATATATTTATTTATATATTTATTTATAAATTTATTTATTTTGTTAAATTTATTTATATTTTATTTATATATTTATTTATATATTTATTTATAAATTTATTTATATATTTATTTATTTATTTATTTATATATTTTATTTATATTTTTATTTATATTTATTTATTTTTTGTTTATTTAATTTATTTTTATATATTTATTTATAAATTTATTTATAAATTTATTTAAATTTATTTTTAATTATATATTTATTTATATATTTAATTATATATTTATTTATAAATTTATTTATATATTTAATTACAAATTTATTTATATATTTATTTACAAATTATATATTTTATTTATATATATTTATTTTATTTATAAATTTATTTATATATTTATTTATAAATTTTATTTATAAATTTATTTATATTTATGTATTAATTTATATATTAATTTATTTAATTATATATTTATTTTATAAATTTATTTATATTATATATTTTAATTATAAATTTAATTTATAAATTTATTTTAATTACAAATTTAATTATATATTTATTTATATATTTATTTTTTAATTACAAATTTATTTATAAATTTAATTACAAATTTATTTATAAATTTAATTATATATTTAATTACAAATTTATAAATTTATTATATATTTAATTTATTTATTTATATATTTTAAATTTATTTTATATATTTATTTACACAAATTTATTTATATATTTATTTATTTATTTTTTTTATATTTATTTATTTATTTTATTTATATTTTATATATTTATTTATATTTATTTATATATTTATTTATAAATTTATTTATATATTTATTTAATTATAAATTTATTTATAAATTTATTTATAAATTTATTTATTTATATATTTATTTATATATTTAATTATTTATATATTTATATATATATTTAATTATATATTTATTTATATATTTATTTATATAAAAAAAGGAATCAATCGAATTTAGACAAAGAATCGCTTTGTTTATTAATGTTAAATATCAAAAACAAGATAAAAATATTGAAATTCTTGAAGGTGTTTCTCTTGCTCAACAACTTCCTAAAATTACAAGAGAATTTGGAGAAGAAAATTTTTATGATTTTAGTTTATTTCATGGAAATCGTAATTGAAAATTGAAAATTGGAAATTAAAAAATAAAAAATTATATTGAAAATTTTCAAAACTTGAAATTTAGATCCACTTGATAGAAATAAATCAATTACAAACCAAAATATTGATGATATTCAAAACGCAAGTTTTACTCTTGTTAGAAAAGTCAAATTTAGACAAGATCAAAATCAAATTAAAGTAAATTAAAAAAAAAATCTAAATATAATTCAATTTATCAAAACAAAAATATCATTTAGAAAGAAGAAGATTCTACTCCAATATTCACTTATCCATTAAGTTATGCTTTAAATCGAGGTGGAAGACAACATGAAGTACCAAGAATATTAGTCAAATGCTTTGACTTTATTGAAAAAAATGGGATTAATGTTGAAGGAATTTACAGAAAAATGGGAACCTCAGAAAATGTTGCTAAATTGAAAGAATTTTTTGACCAAAGTATTTTAAAAATGAATAAAATATTCAAAAATAAACTCCTAACATGAAATTTCCAAAAATAAAAAAATCAAAAAATTCAGCTGATGATCTTGAAATTGAAAGTGTGACTAAATCACCTCATGATACAGCAGAAATTGTTAAACTTTATCTGAGAGAACTTGGCGAACCTTTGATTCCAAACAGTTTATATGACGATTTTATCAAAGCAGATGGTTTGTTTTAATTTCTTATTCAAAATAAAAATAACACAAATTAATTCAAAATGAAAAACTTTGAAAAGGATTTTCTATTTTATGGGAAAAAATGGAGTTTTTGAATTCATTAGTCGATTCACTTCCAAAACCCAACTTTGAATCACTGAAATTACTTTGTCAGCATATGAACAAGGTTTCAGGTGCATCAAGCCATAATAAAATGACTCTATCAAATCTCGCAATGTTTATTGGGCCTTTAATTCTCCGTAAAAAAGTCGAAGAAACACAACAACAATATTCGATTTGCTTGATATTATTTCAAGAATTCGAATTTCTATTTCTTGTAAAAAAAAAAATAAATGAAAAAATTTTCCAAAAATAAAACATTAACATGAAATGAAATGAAATGAAAAACAGAAAAAACCTAAAAATTATATTCCAGATATTTATGCAAAAGCAAATTTTGCATTCAAAGCAGAAAGGGAAGATGAACTCGAATTCGATGAAGGAGATATTCTCGAAATAATTTCCAAAAAAATAGGTGAAGAAGATGAAAAAGAAGGTGGTTGGTGGTTTGCAAAATCGGTTGTTTCAGGAAAAGAGGGTTTGATTCCTTCTTCTTATGTTGAAATGACAAGAGACTATGTTCCTCCAAGAAAAGGATCCAGTTCTCAAAAACATAAGGGAATCAAAGCTGAAATTTTATCTCTTGAAAAGAACTTTGAAATATGATATTGAATTGAGAAAAGAATTGGAACAAAGAAATGATGCTTTAACAAAACAAATTAATGAGCTTCAAAAAAAGATTGAAAAAATTGCGATTGAAAAACAGGAAATTTTGGAATTAGTTCATCAAAAATTTGGTGATGAATTTCAAATTTAAACAATTTAAGGAAAAAAACAAAAAAATTTAAAAAAAAAAATCAAACACAAGTACAGAAAAAGAAAATGATTGAAATTTTTTTTTTTTTAACTAAATGAAATCAATTCAAATAAATTAAATCAAAATTAAATCAAAATTTAATTAAAATTAAATTAAAATTAAATCAAAATTAA